CAGGGGAGGTGGAGGAGCAGGGGGCGGAGCGTTCAGGGGAGGGGGCAGAGTTGGGGCGGGGACTTTGGGGAAGGGGCAGGGGCGGGGGCAGGGTGGAGTTGAGGCGGGGCCGGGGCCCTGTGGAGTATCCTCCTTTTTTTAAATTAAAATATGGTAACCCTATCCCTACTGAGTTTGTTAAATGAAGCCTGCGCTGCTGGGCTTAGGTCCTGTCCTCTCCCATCCCCTTTGGAAAAGCCCTGCCCGCTCCTGGAACTTCTGAGATCCTCTGGCTGGGGCCCCGCGCTCAAGTCCTTTCCTCATGGACTTCAGAGGGACGCTGCAGAAGAGCTGCCCCCGGGAGTTCAGAGTTGCAAAATCAGATCCTTTGAGATAAAATCAAGGGGAAGTTATCCACGCCTGGCTGCCAGATGCGCTGGAAGCTTGTACTGTGAAGGCAAGTTGTGCAAGATAAACACACCCAGCCACATCCCATCCTCATTTCCCCCAGGGTAAAAGTATGGAGGTTTGCATCCCCCTTTTTGCTTCTTTATGGTGCACCAGGAATGCCTGGAAGGGGCTTTCCAAAAACATTTGTTGCATTCTTTTATTTTTTTTTACATTAGAAATATAGGTTTGCAGCCCCTGTTTTCCACCAGTGACTGTGGAGAACTGGTAGGGTTCTGCCACCAGGGGTCTGAAGAATGGAGCTTGATCAATGGGGGAGGGACTGGCGCTTTGGCTGGGCTGTTTAAAAACGGTGGTTTGGGTAACCCCCCCTTAATTCCAATGCCTGGTAAACAGTGAAGTGAGAACCTCTCTTTGGGAAAGATTCAAACACTCCCACCCCTCTACGCTGAATGACCCCACTCCAGATCTCTCCTCTTCCAGGAGCAGGGGTGGCTCCAGGCACCAGTGCTCCAAGTGCGTGCCTGGGGCGGCAAGCCGCGGGGGGGCCTGATGGTCGCCGTGAGGGCGGCAGTCAGGCAGTCTTCGGCGGCTTGCCTGCGGGAGGTCCGCTGGTCCTGCGGTTTCGGCGCTAATTCGGCGGCGGGGACGCCGAAGGCGCAGGATTGGCGGACCTCCCGCAGGCATGCCGCCGAATCCGCGTTACCAGCGGACTTCCCGCGGGCGTGCCGCCGAAAGCCGCCTGCCTGCCGTGCTTGGGGCGGCAAAATACATAGAGCCACCCCTGTCCAGGAGTTCTCCAAAGAAACATGGACGGCGAGTTGGAATATCCATAAGGGGGGGGGAGGGGGAATCCCAAAAGCAGGAAAAACCCTTTTTGAGGGGAGGAAACCTGTCTTTTCTAGCCTCTCTATTCATCAGTGGCCCCCACAAAAGGGAGCACACCCTGGATTTCCCCCTCTTCAGGTAACTGTTAGCAAAAAATGCTCCCCTCCCTGGAGCAAAGTGAGATCTGATTGCACGGATAGGAAGCTGACACAGGCACGAGGCCCCCAGGCGCCATTAAATACACTTCAAAGACCTCAAACAAGACAGTTTGTGCCCTTTCATTTAACGATGGGGACATCGTCAAGGTTGCGGTGTTACAAAAATAAACCCCAGCCTGCCTTGGGGCTT